AACCGAAGGAGGGCATATATTTCTTTTAACAACTGTTCGAAGTCAGCCAAATCAAGATTCATACCATACAAATGTAAATTTTTTTTGTAAACCAGTATATTACATACCACGTGGTAGTTACAATTCTGTGTTTGATTCCTTTGATTCCATGAAAAATGATGCTGGAGACCTACCCTACCCTATTTTTATATTGAATAACTCAAAAGAAAATAAATGATCGGGTTTATTAAATCTTTTGTAGAGAAAAATATACCGTTGTAACATTTCCAGGTCTAAAAATATCACATCTTGTCTAATTTACCTCTAACTTAACCTGATTATTCAGTGCTATCTTTATACCCCGATTAGTGTGTTCAAGTTTGTTTTGAAGTTCGTAACGCCCAGAACTAATCGTCAGAGACGCAATTATAAGATATATAAATATCATACTTGTATAAATGATCAGCATGATGAGTTGAGTTGGTTGAGAGATGTTTGTCTATCTATCATCTGTCTGTATATATGCGAATAAGTGGCTCAGCTTTCGAGATAACTAAAATTTTGCGCACATAGTTTCAAAGAAACTGCTCATCTATACTATAGCATATACATAGGTACCATACAAATGGAACGATCGGTATCAAGACCATGTATTGAAATTTTTTTACGTGCTATTTTCCCGAAATTTGGCATGGGTTATCGTCTAAGACGATCTCCGAAGAAACTTTTCAGATCGGAAAAAAAACCTGCCCTACAAACTAAATAATCGGTTTCAATCCCCGAAAGCAACTGAAATGTTTCTAGTTTCTCTGCTTATCTTTTTCCTAAGACCTCGGACCTTCGGAGATATATTGAGATATAGAGATCGTAGTAATATGCACACGTTTTCACGTCATCTGTGATATTCGCGTTTATCACACCTTTTAAAGTATTATATTTCAGAAACGATAAATTGTATTCAAAACTCTTCAAAGATCTTCTAAAGCTAATTTTATAATACACAACTTTTGTCCAAAGATATTTTGAAATACAACTTACTGTTTCGTTGAAAATCGCCAAAAAATGTTTTTGACCATTGACTTCGATTTTTTTTTTTTTCATATAACAGTATGCAGTGGAGTTTATCGTGATATTTTTAACCATCATTTGTGCATATTCACCGACTTTCAGCTTGCTGTCAATTTACTTTTACTCTTATTTTCTGTCTAATTTCACCGGCCTATAATATATTCAGATTTGTAATTAGTAACACCTTGTTTGTTATGTGTGCGTTAAAAATGACAACAGTAMATTTATCGCAAAATATGCTAAAATTGCTGAAAATTTTCTTCACGAATTTTAATTATTTTTTGTTATCAAGTTTACCTACATGCTTCTTCTTCCGCAAATCACTTTTACGAATTCCTGCTCAGCCATAACCTCAATACCAAACTATGCTATCAGCAACTTCATAATCTCTATACATAACTTGGATTTTGTTAATTTGATTTCCAGAATAATATTCTTATACTTTTATATTCATATACAGAGCAAATCTGCATATAAACATATTTAAGCCTGCCAGTGTGCTATGAGATTTTGATGAAATTTCATCGCTCTCAACATATCTACTCATATGGAAAATATTTTGATTAAATATGAATTYTGTAGATGTGAGTCCAGTTTGTTTTCGGCAAAATAAATTATTTTTAATTRATGTGAGTATCTTGATGAGTTCACTGGTGAAGTGATGTGTACCATAAGTGTGAAGTTGAGAGTATTTTAGAGATCGATGTGAAATAATTTAGAAGCATGTTGAGTGTTAAATTATTTTGCGAATTACTTCCATTAATGCAGACTGACWATTTGATATTAACTGTAGGTAAAATTATATTAATACTGCAAATGAATGAAGTACTCAGTTTTTTGATTTAGGAGAAAATTCGAATATCAAAAGAAAGGCAACGCTTTAGAAAGATGTCCCATATAGATACCAATATTTTAGCGATTTTCGAAAATTAATCGAATAAAATATCTTAATACGAGGTAACGCAAATCGGTTTAGCTTGAGTTTTACATTGAACTGAAACTATTTCTAATATGATTACATGACTGTATGTCATTTTTATCAATAGTTGTATCGATTTTAAAAATCTARCTGGATCTCAAGTGCAGCACTTCCTTCTATGTTTCCTTAAATACACCTGCACAAAGCCCATTTGCTTTTTGTATAAGTATAAGTATGTATGTATTTGTGCACAGTACCTTGTATATAGATCCGCATGCGACGGTGATAAGCTTTGCAATAAAAGCGGAAGCACATGGGTAACTGTTGAATTTTTATGGCCTGTTTCTTTATCGCTCTTTTGTATGCAATAAAAATACATATACTCAAATATACATATGTGTGATTATAACCGTAAACACACTCGCACTTCAATATATATAGACCATGCCAACATGTATTTACTTTTATATATAAATTGTCTGCTGAAACCCATTTGACAGACACATACAAATATTCCTACTTTTTTATTTATTTATAAAACATACAAAAACATATTTAAGTACGTTGTTGTTATTATTTTATTTTCACCTTATTTTGCATTTTCTTATTTGTTTTGCTGCATTCCGGAAAAACATTATTTCTCAAGTGGGTGTTTGGGAAACATTTCGTTTGTACCCAAAAACATTGAATAACTGGGGTTTTCGATTGGGGTGATCTTATGTTGGCAGACATATCTTTTTTGTGGGGTTCCCTTTAGCAAAGCAGGTAATCAATGGAAATCAAATGGAAGTGCGAATTCAATGTAAAAAAAAGAACACCTTTAAAAAATTCCAACTTTGGGAATTTTGATTCGGTGGGAATTGGAGTCATATATGTAGTTTCTGAGASGGMTACATTTTTCTATGATAACTCATGYCKTTATAAGTTTCATAAGTATCAATAAAAAATTTTCTGTTAATTTCCTCAGACAGTCTTGAAAACCTGATGACTACAGCGAGCATACATTGTGTATTTTGAAGTGTTTTTTTATTTTATTTTTYTTATAGCCAATGAGGTTCAAATAGAAAATTGATGCTGAAAATAAATAGGAAGAAAAAAAATKTGATGACAGTTGTAGACTTTATTTTTTTGAAATGTATTTTGCTTTGAAGCGAGATAAATTTTGTAAAAGTATAATTGTTGAGAGAAGCCTTTCAACGGAGAGGACTTTGATGGCTGTGGTTCTATATTCTTATTAAATTATTTCCTTATTAAAATACTTAACATAATAGATGTGTTGYTCAATTGGTCGTCACAAATTTGTCTTAAGTAGTAGATAATGATAGCATTAGATTCATAAGATTCATTAGATTCTGAAAATTGTTCATTAATAGCAAGCTTTATCTCCATAGGAATCTTCACGTGGAATGTAACCTCATCTACATAAATGCTAGGTGGCATGCAACATGACTGCAATCGACTTGTTCCTATTGAGTAACCCTTTTGGTACATTATTCAAACAATGTTAGTAAAAAAATGTTATTATACAACAGTTGCTGGTTGAAGCGTGTGATTKGCAGATTATACTACTAGTATAAAARATTAAAAAGAAGACGCCAATGCTGTTGTTGCTTATGCGTCTTGCTTAAATCTCGGTGTGGGAAAACATTTCTTCCATAATAATATATCGTCTTACTTTTTCTACTTTGTTAAATATCTAAGCTTACTAAAATTAGAGCCACAGACAACCGTTTAGCAACGACAATCTTCACAAATATTAAGTGGAGAATGTAAGAGCAAGATTGCATCAACAAATTTTACTTCAGGCATGAATTTTGAAGCATCCTTTTGGATTCATATAAGCAGGGAAACGAGGCAAAACAGTAATCAAATTATAATGAAGATTTTAATTCAAATTATAACGAGAAAAATCAAAGCTAATAGTCACAAAAGCCGAAAATATTCATTCGGAGGCCATCACAGACCACTTTGCWGTGCCCTGAAAAACTTCACTCAATAAATATTCTTGGTTGGTGTTTTCATAAGCATCAAACGGATCCTACTCGCAGCGAAGGCGTCATCTACAACTCATGTTCTTGCTKCTGAGTTTTAATCTGGCGTTGTGAAACAAAGTGTATTGTCAATATTTACCGTCAAGGTCAATTTTAAAATCTATTATCTTGAGTGRAAGCCAAAAGCCATGTTTTCAATCCTCGAATCAAAATCAAGGTCATGAAGGAAGACAAAAGTTCTCTAAGCCGGCAATTAAAGCAGTCAAAAAATCAAAAGTGCCGAACAATGTARTGAAGGTCGCAAATCGAAGGAATTTTTAGCAGCAAATTTGTAGCGAAGTCGCTATTGTTCTCTGAGCCACAAGTGAAGGTCATGGCATAGCAGGTACAAGCTTGACGCGAGTATTGCATAAGGAGCRTCAGAGCTTACCAAATTAACTCAAGAGCTCAGGTAGGAGAATGTTAGCAAGATTGAGAGAGGTGTCGCAATATATATGGTATAATAACTGTTGTATACCTGGACACTATGTTAAAACCAGTGATCGCAGAATAAAATTGAGTGCTTTTGAGATTTCAGTTTATAAAGCTCCGATGGCTTACCTGAGAAATGTTTAAAATCCGATCTTGAGTGTTTTGCGGCAAATTTTGCATTTTCAGATGGAATTTTTTTGTAAGGTTTTCAGCCCTTTTGTTCTTCTAAAAATAAAACTAGATTACCAGTSTAAAGAACAGTAGCAGATTCATGTGAAAACGTAGAGCAAATCGCTTGACCTTGGCTGTGCTGRAGTCAAAACCGCTTTATTTACCGGCTTACCGGATAATAACCCTAGATTTGGCCTTGATTTTATGACTTCGGTTTTGATATTAACTCAAATTTGAAACCAAAAAACTGGAGTGACTATCCACCAACATCGTTTACAGCGCCATATAGAGATGAACTTACTGACTTACTGACTTACTGACTTTGATGATATAAATAGCAAGGATTCGAAAGAATTTTTCATCAGACGGATTTTGTTTGTCACATCTTCCACTTAAATAAAATGGCACCAATATTTGAATCTAACTTTTCCATACGCAGCATACTCTCGAACGGTGAAGATATCAAGCAACCGATGCAAACYGACATAAGACCGAATTATACTTACGGAGCATTGGTTACCATGGCTATACGCAACAGYCCCGAACAAAAACTCACACTGAGCGGCATCCAACAATGGATCGCGGATAAYTTTCCATACTATCGCAAGGATCAACGTGGCTGGCAGTGCCAAATTCGGCATACACTCACWACGAATTCATGTTTCATGAAGATACCACGTCCACCCAGCGATCCCGGACGTGGCAATTATTGGACCTTAAACCCTGAGGTTGAGTCGTTTAAGAATACTACGGCACATGGACAGGCACAACTCGGTGCAAAYAGTGCTGGCGGATTCGATTCAAAGCTATCCGTCGATCAGGCGATGGCACAAGGCGTGCCACATCCACAAATACCAACGGCTCGTTACTTTCCGACGCCACATGAAATTGAGCGTACGCAACAAATGATGATGACGCAGGCGCTGCAAGAGCAGCACGAGTGGTACTTGTATCACCAGCGCCAAAAGCAATTAGCGCAACAACAACTGATGAATCTACAGCAACACCAATTTCAACATCAGTGTGAGGAAATCTATAACAAGATCTCATTCCATCAGCAGCAGTGCACATTCTTGACGGCGCCCCTTTACCCGAATTCGGGCCTGAATTTCTAAGATTTGACACTGCTATACATAAAATTAAACTCAGGAAAAATTATAAAAAATCAAATATTATAGCAATTTAGTCTTTAAGTGATTATATATTTATATTAATTTCATTTTGGTATATTTTAAAAATAAATAAATTAGCTTTAGTCTATTCAAAGTGGTTTTTATTTAAGTGCGGGTTGTAGAGGGTTTCTGTTCTACAGTTCTGTTCTGTTTCTGCTTAGCTCTAAACCTGAATTATTGACTTTGTTCAAGCCTACAAAGACACTTAAGTTATTCAGGGAATTTTTTCAGAGCTGCAGTGTGTGGTTGCATCGCAGACCAAAACCTTGTATGCCTTCTTTTATTGACCGATCTTTTTACACAGTTTGTAGGGTCGATCAACTTGTGTATTACGAAGCGCACAATGAGGTACAAATGACACCGTAAAATCAAAAAGAAATAATCGATAATAAGTAAAGTAGATAAAAAAAAAAAATAAATATAAACTGACCATGTGGAAGAACATAGTCATAGGTCATCTATTAAGCTGAAACACTATATCGAGCTTCAAGCTCAAATTCAACGGTCTTATCTCAATTTCATCATTCTGACAACGAGTCGAAACTTAGATGTTCTCTTGAGTCCAAGTATTGAATCTATGGCTCTCTTATAAGCTTTGATAGCTCTGGACAAAAAACAAAACTTGCTTGACAGCTGAAGTCATGGTCAACATTACCGTCCTAATGAGTGTACTGTTCGCAACACCATCACCCATCTTGAGACCGAGTAAAAATATAGCAGCCGCAGCTCAGAGTGAACACAAAGATTGACCGTGGAGAGTCGATTCGATACCATTCGGACTGGCGGAACRACTTGGCGCATTTTATGCCARTATCTTATATTGAAAGTAAATGTTATATTGGAAGCATGCTGTGCAAATGTGAAATGTTCCAAGAAGATCTSATGTTTTCGAGCAAAATTCTGTTCAGCGATGAGTTSCATTTCTGGCTMCGYGGCTCYCATCCAGCAAAAATAACGGTTTKGYGTGGCTTGTGGGCCGGTGGACACRTCTTTATACMTACRTATTTATTCAAAAATTCTTCGGTTTCAACAAGAAGGCGCCACTTCCCACATATCACTTCAMTTAATGGATTWATATAGAGCGAACACTTCGGTGARYAGATAAGATCGTGTGATATTACACTGTTAGACTTTTTCCTGTGAGGTTGTGTAAATTATAAAGTCTATGCAGACAATCTCGCTTCTTTTCAGGCCTTGAGCAAAACATTCGCCAGTTACCAGTCGACCAACCAATCACCGAAMATTGGACTCAACGGATGGACTATCTGAGACGTCCGCAGTCAACCTTTGAAAGAGATAATCTTATAAATTYGATGCCAAAGAATGTTCTTTGCAGTGGGTTTCGTTGTGTTTTCGCTAAAAGGTAGGGACCTCGCAATGGGTCCCCGTTTAAAAGCTAACATGTAATGAGGTTAAATATTTTTGTCATACGCAAATTGCCAAAGCTGTATGGAAGAAAGCGATTTTGAGGCATCTAGATACTTGATAAAGTTTCCAGCTTTTGTTAGACTGATATCGTAACAACTTAGCAGCCACATTTTTTGCTAACTTAGCGAAGTCGTGAGGACTGACATTAGTGATGATCAGGGTGACGAGTAGAGTTGAAATCCGGATATCTGTCTATCCGTCCGTGCAAGCTGTAGCTTGAGTAAAAATTGAGATATCTTGATGAAACTTGTCATGCGAGAGTATAAAATATTCGGTGACACCCGAACTTAGTCCTTCCTTACTTGTTTCATAATGAAACAAAGATAAAATGAAGGCGATTAGCTTAAATAGCCAGAGATTCTTTAGATTTGCAATGCTTTATTATAACTTCTACAATTAAGTTACCAAGGAGAAGCAATTGTGTGCAGTTTGTTTCATACACTATATTGTTATTTATGTCCAAAATGAAAGCGCTTATCATTACAGCCAGGCGAGGTCAATATAACCAACCAAAGAGCATTGTATACAGCAAAAATTTTCGAGATTAGAACGAGCAGAAGTTTAAATTTGAATCCGCACGCTTTCAGCCAGCTGATATTTCCCACGCTTCTACCTAAATTTAGCTCTGAGCGCAAGAAACAAGGAATCAATGTATTTTAATGTGGAATTGGGTATGTGGTTTAAGCCAACAAACGCATCTAAACATATAGACATGTATATTTATATACATATAAATATATCTAAACATATGTATTGAGCCATCTTCTTCTTCTGCTTGATATCGCTTTCTTCAGAAACTGCACACACGTCGACCTTTTGCACATTTTTTTTAAATTTATTGCATCATGAATGGTTATAAATGCGCATGTTGAATAGATTGAAGTATAAATATTTAATTGGTGATTTGCGGATACGCAAAAGTATATATTTGGTGCTGTTTTTTTGAGTGAGCCGCAGCTATACTGAATGCGCAGGCAGGCTTCAAAAGCACAAGAGGGCCGCTTAAATGCTTGCGGCATTGATAAGGAGAAACGGAAGTTATTTTTTGTTGTTGGTTTTATATTTACTACGCTTATTGGCGTGTTTCACACAAATTATAGATACAAACATATATATTTATGTGCTTGTTCTTCAATACTTGGGAGCATATGTGAAATTTCTTGTTAAAAGCGGCGATTATTGTGGGAGTTGAGTTTTGCTAGCGAGTGCTAGTGAAAAAAGACAGATAACGATATGTTTGTAAATAGTATAAATAAATACCTATTTGTAACATGATTCAGAGTATATTTTCATTTATAGAAATTTATCAGAAATGAAACAATTTTCAAAGGCCCAATATGCGAACATATTTTCTCCGGTTACATTCAAGCCTTTATTGAAGTTTAAATTCCATTTTGTTAAAATATATTTCTCTTCTCGATCTTCCAAAATTTYGCCTTTTGATTATGCTAAGCTTTTGTGGTTTTATAAAGAATAAAATGCTTAAATGCAGCATTTAAAAAAGTAGTGGTAGAAACTTTTACACAATCGTCAAAATTTCTCAAATATCAGCAATAAAGGGTGGACCTATGGTCGCTATCAAAAAAATTAAAATTGCGATTAATTACCTTCAGGAAAATTTAATCGAACAGAAGGCTCTTTCAACACTCTTTGACGAAAAATAGATTTTTCCCGAATCTTACAATACACAACATTTGCTGCTTTGTGCTACAGAGAGCTTTACTTCCGACCCACAAGCTGTTACGAACTCTCGACGTTTTGCTGCAGCTGTTTGCTTCAAAAACAAGTTAAGCGTGTGCTATGGACAGCATGAGTATAAAGTGATTTATATGCTGGTTGCAATTCAAGTGAGTTCTCAATAAGCAAACAAGGTCTCGTTACACTTTCAAGCATATAAGTGCACCATGCATTGAATATATATAGACAAAGAAGGATTTTGCAGTAGCGAATTGGTTTGGTATTGAGTTCTTTTGTTACAAAACCATCACCAACATCAGCAGGCTTTGTGCTTACTTTGGATAGTTGCTACTTACGCTTACCGTATGCACTTAGCGCTTATCACGCATAAAGGTGCATGTGTATGAAATTTGGTAAGGTACTTTGTGCAGGTTTGATTTAAGAGAGTAATGCTTTGTTCYACTGTTGGTTATGGTGGTGAAGATAGCCTAGGAAATAAATCAAGCAACTTCAGTATTAGATTCATTTGGATGCATGTTCACAGCGGAATCGGCTAAAATTGTAAAAYGGATGAGCTAGCCTAGGTGGCCGCTTGTCCCGCCCACATTGAAATACAMTTTGCGTGGCCGATGTTGAAACATCTTCGTAGTCGACTTAGTCGCAAGAAACAATGGCCGCCTCTACTAAAGCACTTTGTCGGGTAGGGTTATATGATCCAGTTTTGAGGAGTTGCTAGATACCAAAACCGACTGCCGATCTAAGCGGACTTGAGTTTGAAACTATCATATCAATTACAGTATTATCAGTTTTTAAAATTTTTTTTTTTTTTGCATCCAGAAAATTTTTCAATGATTATACTCGAATTTAGCGCTTCAATTCAGTCATTGGKATGATCTCAGGGAACAGCAATGTTCATAAATGTTAAAAATGTTTAAAAAAAAGAACAAACCTTTAAATATTAAAAATTTTCCTTACAAACAAGGTGGCAACACTGCCTATATACAAAAGATGAGCTTAAGGGATTATTACTGTCGTTACAGCGTTTTTTGTAGAAAGGAACCAGAGCGACTCCAATCCAAACGCGTTTTGCTCAGAATGGTGTTWTTCAAAACGGTTTTCACTCTCAAAGGAAGAGTTTTGAAGATATCTAGTGCCAATTTGTAGAGAATATTTTTAACGTCATTCTCTATCAGGCTATCAAAGGTTTTCATTTGTTTTTTTGGAAATCTTCATAAGTTTTACTGTGCTCGAAAAACTGTCGACAAAAAAGGCGAAATTCCATATTTTTTGTTTAAGCCGCCGCCATTTTGTCGAATTTCAAAGAAAACCTCTCCATAGCGCGATAGCGACTCTCCTACAAATTATTAAWATTTTTGAAATTTTTGTTTTAGATCAGAATGTGAACGATAATGTGTGTAAAATTTCAGGGCGATTTCTCAACAATAGGCATATATACAGACGGACGGACATGGCTAAATCCACTCATTATATGATTATTTATATATGTATGTTTGTATATATTTTAGAGGGTCTCTGATGTTTACTTCTGTTTACCCTATACAGGGTATAAAAAGCAACCACACACTCCATAAGACCACTGCATATGCGTACAGGAACACATTAAAGTCACACCAAACAGTCCGTAACGGAAATTTATGCAGCAACAGCGCAACTACAACATAAATTAAAACAAATTAGCGGTCATTATGTTTAACTCGTGTTTGCGTTAATGTTTTCGCCATATTTTTTCTCCACTTCTACGCTGCCGTTTGTACTGCTTTTGTTTTTTAAGGCGCGTACACTATGCTTAAATCGCAACAACACAAACAACAACGCAA